TATTTAAATAATTTTTATAAAAAATTAATATTTTAATTATCAAAATATCTTAATATTTTACTCTTCTTTTATATTATATAAAAAATGTAATTTAAGTTAAAAAAATATCATAGTATATTCAATAAATTTTATTTAATAAAACATTTAAATACTTTCACGAAAACTGACTGAAGATTAAAGATTTTTCTGCTCAGTAAGTAACAAACGAGAGTTCATTCTGAATTGAGCAAACTTAAGGGAAAGAAAATCAGATCTTGAGTGAGAAATAAAGAATTTGATTCCATGTCAAGTGTTTGCAGGAGCTGGCATTAAAGGATTTAAGTCTCAAGAGGTAATTTCCTTTTTCTGTAATTGATGAGGCGTTGAGCAGTCTTACACTTTCTATTTTTCTTTTATGATTCCACCTGAAAACTAATAAGATTCCAATAATATTTAGCAGCAGAAGTTTCCATATATTATGTCCAAGGATTAATTATTTACCATATTTATCTTGTTCATAAGATGTCTTTGGAACCTGGAGAATCCAAGTTCATTTAATCATCGTCAGTTTCTGGTAAATTTTCATCATAAATTTTAGATTCTCTGTTTAATTACATTCTTTTATCTAAAGCATATTTCTAGATTCAAATCTTCCTATATCTAGCGGCTGTTCCTCAATCTGAAAACCCTGAGGTAGTGGATATGAATCCAGATGTGGTCCAGGAAAATTCAGATAATCAAACAAATCACTTGGCACTAGAAATCGAGGAAGATTCGAATCGCCAATTAGGAAATGCTTCAGGTAATCAACCAAGCTCTGAGACACAGGATGTGAACCCAACTGAGGCCAAGGAAGATGCTGGTAACCAACTAAACAGCAAGCTGTACTATCGAGCAACAAAAGGTGATTTCCATGCTTTTGAGGAATTCGACAAAGGCCGTCTCAAGCAACTGGTGACGCGAGTCGATAAGAACACAATCTTGCATATTTGCATAACAGCTGCCACACCTTATTACCGAAAGAAAGCATCCAGAATTAAATCAGTTGACTTTGTGAACAAGGCTCTTGCAAAGTGCAAAGAACTGTTATGGCAGCCCAATAAAAAGGGTGAAACAATACTTCACATTGCAGCCAGGCACGGGCATCACGACATCGTGCAAGTCCTTCTAACTGAAGATAGAGGAGCTCGACCACAGCGCCTGTTGGAAATGAAAAATGAAGTGGGAGACACGGCCTTACATGAGGCTGTGCGCTATACTCACCTCCCGGTGGTGAAGATATTGATCAATGAAGACCTTAAGTGCCAATATGGTCAAAATAATGATGATGAGACTCCACTATACATAGCTGCAGAAATGGGAGATCACAAGGTTGTAGAGGAGATATTAAAATGTGAATCACCAGCTTGCGATGGCCCGCATGGAAGAACTGCTCTCCATGCTGCAGTTCTCTGCAAAAATGATGGTAACAGGCTTTTTTTTTTTTTTTTTTTTTTTTTGAATGACAACGAAATGAGCTTGTTAGAGACATCTACAAAAGCCTCAACCATTCATTTTGCATTTTTTTCACTCTAATAGTTAATATTTATTCATATTTATTAAAAATAATTAATTTTTATATAAAAACCTTAAAAAATATTAATTATTAAAAATAAAAATATTTTATATAAATGTAAAATGTAAATTTTGTACGTA